TGTTTTTAGCTAAACAGCTGTGTCTTGGTCAATCTGGGTTCACTGAGAATAGCAATGATAACAATGAACTTTTCAGTTTTGTCATTTCTATGCACTGGATGTAGGGTGATTATCTGTGATACCAGAAGTTTCAGAAACAGTCGTATATGTGCACTTATAAAACAGATACGTAAATAGCTCTACTCCAAAAAGCAGTAAGTAGAAATGTTTCTGAACTCTGCTTTACAAATATTGACTCTAGCCTAGATTATATTTGCTTTAGCAGTGATTTAATTGAAGGATCGTTCCACTGACTTAAGTGAAGTGACTCCAGATTTATGTCATGTAACTGAAATAATAACTTCTCCCAGCATCAGTAGGTGATGTTTCCTACTAATACACTGCACTGAATATTAGCCAATTGATTTACGTTATGACAGCAGCAAGAAATTCAGGTTGCAACATAATTACTTGTAAACATAATACCATTTTGGTTACCATTTCATCTTCTTTCCTACCCCACCCACTTGGTGTTTCTAACCATACTTGTGACATCATGCTTATCTAATTACTTATTTAAGAATGATAATTAATATTTTAAACATTAAATTGATTCTACCACTGCTTTCAGTACTTGTAGAATTAAAATGTAACATAATATCTATTATTCTAAAAAGTCTGTAATCTCATGAAAAAGTATCGTAAATGCGCAAATCATTCTTAAAAACTGTTAAAGTATTCTGATTAGTTTTCAATTACTTCTTGTTTTCTACCTTTATATCATGTATATTTAAATTTATGCAGCCTGGGGAATTCTTGAAACTCAGAGCCACGTGCTTAACTTAGAAAAAATACTTTTTGGTTACGTATACTATTTTCAGTCATTTCACTAAGTTCTTACAATGAAGTATGTAGACTGATAGAGCTTGTAGACAAAGGGAAAGTGACAGGAATATTGTCAGAAGAAATTAATAGCCAGGCCCGATCCTTTCTTTGCTGGAACACTATGTCCTACTTTGCTGTAATAGTATTGTTGTAGATTTTTTTGAATCATCCCACTAAAAAGCAAAGGTACAGTGGCAGCATATCTATCTGCCCAGCTTTCACCTGGACAAAGCTGATTTAGTAATGCATAGAGGGGGATAGTTCTGCTTTTCTCATCCAGAACGATCTGCTAATCATTTGTGAGAGAACCAGAACTGTTACACAATTGCCTTTATGCATAAACAATGTCATTCCATTAATATTCTACTGGTCTTCCACTGTTGCAGGGAATAAAGATTAAGCTCTGGCTGTTACATTGTGGGAGGTTTAAATTCACTTAGTAATGTTACTTATGGGCAAAATTGGATTTCCAATTAGTTGTGCTCATTTACCCCTTCGATGTATGCTTTGAAGGGCTAATGATACTCTATATGAAACTAATGTATCCACATGACAATTGAGGTTGTAACACTTGCTCAGTTTTCTCTTTATTCAGTTTAAGTATAGAATTCATATTAAGGTAGAAGAGAATTATGTTTTAATGTTTTTCTTATATATTCCTAAAAAGTAGTGACCCTTCCTGTAAACTCCCCATAGCTTTGAGTCACAGTGTCTTAAAAAGAAAGCTTAGCAGTTGTCGATGATGCACTTAACAGTTTTTTCAGCTTTGGACTCACATATGACTGCCCAATGTCACATCCATCTGGAAAAGGCACTTGGTATCTAATTATTCTAAATTTTCTTGATAGACTTCCTCCTGCAAAGTATTGAAAATCCCATTGAAACTGTTGAGTGTTATAACCTCCAATTAAACACAGTTCTTTCAAGAGATACCTTCAGGCAGTTATGGGATCAGACCATAAAAAATGAGTTAATTGAGTGTACAAAGTATTCTAGGACACAGTGTGAAAAACAGACGACGTATCTAGAAGTAATGAGTATTTCAGAATCTGTTTTATCTAATCGACAAAGCTCTGTAAACTCAAAGCTGAAACCTTCTGAGAGCTGGTATTATTCATAGACATAAACTCAGAAATTACACACGGAGGGATGAGATAGTCGAGCAATTACTAATGGTTAGTAGTATTAGGATGAGAATAGTGTTTTCCTCCCAAACACTCTGTGTATGGAAAAATACTAACATAAAAAGCGTGCCTTAGCATGGTACTACACGTTCACGCCTGCAGGTGGCGAGCAATATGTACGATGTGAAGCACTTCCAGTCTGTCGATCCTGCTGCTATTACCATCTCATATCAGTTTGTTTTACTAAATTATTACTTTATTAAATACCACACAGAGTCCAAGGAATTGCTGCTTATGTGCTTGTTACTATTTATTTGATTTGCAGATGAAATTCCTACAGTGGTTGGGATCTTTAGTGCATTTGGCCTTGTCTTCTCTGTCTCCCTTTTTGCTTGGATCTGCTGCCAGCGTAAATCTTCCAAATCCAATAAGACCCCTCCATATAAGTTTGTCCATGTTCTGAAGGGGGTTGATATTTACCCTGAGAATCTCAACAGCAAGAAGAAGTTTGGAGCAGATGATAAAAGTGAAGCAAAGAACAAATCAGCGATGCCAAAGAATTCTCTCCATCTTGACCTGGAGAAGAGAGATCTAAATGGCAACTTCCCCAAAACAATCCCTAAAATACAGAGCTCTCCAGATCTTGAAAATTTGTCTCCTAAGCACTTTGCAGAAAGGAAGAAAGATTCAGTATCCCCTGATAGTTTAAAATCCATCACTTCCCTGTCATCTGAAGATAAGCAAGACAAGCTAGGAACTCTTTTTTTCTCCTTAGAGTACAACTTTGAGAAAAAGGCATTTGTAGTGAACATCAAAGAAGCACGTGGGCTGCCAGCAATGGATGAACAGTCAATGACTTCTGATCCTTACATCAAAATGACAATCCTGCCTGAGAAAAAGCACAAGGTGAAAACCAGAGTGCTGAGAAAAACCTTAGACCCAGCTTTTGATGAGACCTTCACGTTTTATGGCATCCCCTATAGCCAAATTCAAGACTTAACGCTTCACTTTATGATCTTGAGCTTTGACAGGTTTTCCAGAGATGATGTCATTGGAGAAGTCCTTATTCCCCTCACAGGAATTGAACTGTCAGAAGGAAGACTGCTAATGGACAGAGAGATCATCAAAAGAAATGTTAGGGTAACATATTTTTTATTTCAACTTTAAAAGTGTTGTGTTAGTGTTAGCTATGTTTCTTGTGTAATGCTGATAGCACCTTGGAAAGAAAAGAGAACAAGCTCATCATGCAAGTCACTGAGATGGCTTTCATAATGGCAGTATGAGGAAGCAATTACACAAATGTAATAGAAGGACATTACAATGAGCATATTGCAAAAAACTGCTAATGTCCTAAACCCTACTTGCTTATTCAGCTGGTCTAGCAGGTTTCAGTGGACCCATTTACATTAGGTCAAGTGGCTGCAATCCACGTTAATTTGCTTTAAAAGGAAAGAATGGAAAAAGTTTATCTATTTGTCCCCTTCTCCTCCCTCCCCTTGAAATCATTCTTTCTTAAAGCTTACTGAAGTCAGTGTAAATCTTTCACTTCAACTACATGAGTTTTATAGAAGATTCTTAAAGAATACAGGTAGTCTTTAGTTAAGGAATTGGAACCTGTTGGAGACCATATTGTTGATGCAGTAGTATGTTGTCACACTTCAGTGCTGTTACTACCTTCTGCTACTCAAGAATTGTGACACAGGCTGCAGCTGTGCTAAGGATAGTAAGACTTGGGGGAGAAGCCAAAGCCTTACCGAAGTCAAAGGCAAAACATACTGACTTCACTGGGCTAAAAATATTTCATACCATTTTGTCTCATTGCAGAATGTAAAGATCATTTACAGCCATCACAGCTGAACCACAGAAATGCACATGCATCACACACACGTCTCTTAATCTCTACTAAGGAAGTGGAATGTGTATTGACTTTCAATTTGATTGTTTTCAAAGAGCAAGCATGCTGCCAAATCAAATAAATGTCTACCAGACAACATGCCTATAACTAATATTGTTATTTTGCAATTCTATTGCTATATTACAACAACTATAACCATGTCACTGATATTTTGTTGATAACTTATTGGGTTTTCTGGTACATAAGGTATTATTTTTGCCTGTTTCCCTTGCCTTCCTCCTTTCTGTGAAATAAACAACTCCTGCAAATTCAAATCTAATAATCATAGAGGAAGTCTTTGATGTCATCTTCATTTCTGTATTTCATGTGTATTACACTACTTTAGAGAGTGTCAGGGATGAGATTTCACTAACTGAATCCTTCCTGTTTAAAAAATTTTACTGAAGTATTTTTTTTTATTTACCTTTATTCATTTTTTTTTCAATACATCTGTATGGAATTTTGTTTTGCTGGAGAACTTATTCGTTCAGTGAGGTTTTTTTCTCAGGATGTAGGATTTAATTTCTAATTTCTGAAGCTAATGATGTTATCTCAACCTATATTTTCACTTATTTATTATTTATTTTTGTTCAGTCTAACAACCATAAGAAGAGTTATATAAGCACAGTAGAGGGAAATTATATTTCCTATGTAAAGCAGCATAGCTCCATAACTTATATCCTTTTACACCATTTCAGAACATGGAGTTATGTGACATTTCATAAATCTTCTTAATTCTGCTTTAAAGCTTGGTAAATGTAATTGCTTATAAATAGTCTTATTTCTTTTTTTTCTTTCATTTCCTCAGAAATCATCTGGGCGTGGAGAATTGCTGATCTCTCTCTGTTATCAGTCTACAACAAACACACTCACTGTGGTTGTTTTAAAAGCCAGGCATCTACCTAAATCTGACGTGTCGGGATTATCAGGTAATGGTTTTAATAATGAATATGCCCTAAGAATATAAAACAAATGGTCAGAAGACAGCTGAAATGTGGCATTTCTAAGCCTAAAAATAGCTCATAAATGTAGAAATGGTGTCTCTGTTATTTTCAGCCTATTCATTTTATTCATATCTAGGTCAATGCTTTATTTTCCACAGTATGTATTTTACAAACTTGTTCTTCAATCACATGTTAAGAAAACATGACATCTGTTACCAGTGGAAACCAATGAGTTTTGTGGTTGTCTTGAACAGAACCCATCTGCCATAAGCATGGGATGCTGTTTGCAGATACTAAAAGTTTCTATTTATCATAAAACCCCAGTTTATTTATAGAAGATCAGTATTGAGTGAGATCATCGTATGGTTTATTTCAGCTTAGCACCAAGAAAAGCAACCAGTTACATCTGTGCTGAATTTGGCCCACTGAGCACTAACATTTATTTGGCAAGGTGAAAAGGTGAACTATGCCAGTGCAAGAAACAGGTTGTAACATAACACCCACCCTTTATCATGAACTTCCACTAAGGAAGAAGTAGTTTTCATGCTCCCTTCTCCTTGTCTTTTTGTACCATTTTGCATTCATTTTGCACTCCTTTGAAGCCAATACTAGAACTGCACTTAGATGCACGTTAATGCTAGGTAACATAATACCAGAATAAAATTTAGTGTGCAATATACTAACCATAAGACAACCACACAAAAAGAATAGTGCACAGCAAAGGACAGTACAAACAGTAGCATATCTGCTGTTGATTCTTTATAAGACTTTCATTCCACAGGATTTTTTTGAAAAGAAACAGTTTGGGGAACCACTGAATTGTATTTACTACAGCCAATAATACAGTCTTTCTACTTCTTGTACCAAGAAATACTTCAGTTTACCAAGAAAGTTAATCCATCCTGAATCCAATACAACGATGCTACAGATAACTCCCATTTACATAGTGGAATTCCATTTAAATCCTTCTTCTGATCTCAAATTTATTCACATATGATAAGGAGAAAGGATATAAAAGGAGCCCAGCAGTTTACCCCCTAGAAGAGAGCATACATGGTTTTAATAATCAACCCCAAAGTCACAGTACATAGTGGAGGTTTTGCAAAGACAGCATGGCAGCAAGCTGATCTCAGCAGATCAAGTCTGGCTGAGGTTCACCCAGGTGGGAAAATGTAAACAAAAGCCCTCCTAGTTTCGGCAGCCACCTGGACCCTATAGCACACCCAAACTACACATTTGTTTACAATGTGTAAACTTATGAGTAAAGCTATATAATTTGTTTGCTCTTTCTGTTTCCCTCAGTACAACCTTGCTAACTATAATAGGAATATAATATTTCTAGGAGCAGACATACTACACCTGGACACCTAGTTCATTTAGACAGTTCTTCATTATTTGCTGTTCATCAGCAAGTCCAGGTTCAATAGATATTTGGGTGTCAGTATCATACTGCACTCACAACAGCCCTTATTTCCTCTGTGACTTTCCCTGCAGCCCAATATAAATCTTGGACAAGGAGGAGGGTGAAATGGTGTTTCTATGGGGTCAGCTAAACAATTTTATAGCTCAGTCTCTTTAGTAAGATGGGAATGTTTTTACTCAAAAGTTGTTCCATTCCCCCAACCTCCTTGGTTTCCTTGATCACTGGTTTCTAGGTCTCCTCATAGACCTTGTAAAACCAAGAGGAACATTCTAGCCTTATCCAATAGCTGGCCAGAAGTAACAGTCAGAAAACCTGTCTTAAACAGAAATAAACAGCAGCATGAATCCACTGGTGGATATTGATTCTGATATTTTTAATGCTTGTGTGGCCTATATTAATTCTAAAGCCAATGAACATTTTAATTACATTAAACCCTAACTTTAAAAATTTGTTATGTTGATAGAGTATGAAACTGAAAGATGTGTTCTATTATATTACGCCTGTTAAACTACTGTCAGTTCAAGGAAACAAAAACCTTTTCATCATCCAACTATTTCAGTCTGATAACTTAGGCATAGAATTTCTAAAGATGATTCAGTTTTAATTTTACTTTTTAAAAAAGTATTCAACTATTCTTGATGTTTATTAGCTAATTGTTTGCATAGACTATCTTGTTTGACTGGGTTCAATAGAAAGGAATATGTACTGCATCTTTGCACCATGCAAATTTGGAAACAGGCCCACATTTGCACTGAAATATGTGCCAAGGTACTTGAAAAGAATGAATTTTAAAGAGTGCTCTAGAATTCCTCTGAAGGAAGAAATATAGCCATTGTTGAAGTCAATAGCAAAGGAATCTTGCAACAATTGAATAATTACGAAGAATGCAGACACTCAAAGTTGGTTGACAGCTAAAAATATAGACATTTTCCCTTCCCTTCTTCAATAGTAGTACAGCACAGATATAAAGTCAAGTACATATCCTAACAACAAATGTACCCTTACATTTAAAGTCTAGTGTTAAATTTATTCAATAGATACTTTTGAGAGCAATTTAATCCAGTTAATTGACTTTGGTAGAATGACAACAGAAATGAATCTCATCCATTCATCCATTCTCTCAGCACAAGCTTATTCTCTCCTTTCTGAGGCTTTTCTTTGCATAAGTCTTAATGCTAATGATTATCCCCTACTGGTAGAATGTGTGAAAAGCAGATTTCTGTTACACATAAATATGTAATGATACATATCTTTCAGAGTCCATTAGAATTTTGTGTACTTTCAGACCACCTTTGCATGTAGTAGAGGTGGTTTTAGGGTTAATGGACTACAGGGCAGGATTTATCTTGTGAAGGAGACACCTCTATTTGATCAGACGAATCATGCCCTAAGCTTCACTGACTATCTTGATTACATCTTTGGTGACCATAAAGGGAGCTTAAAGAGACTAATTCAGACGTAAACACAAAAATTGTATTAGATGAATCATCTTTAGTAACTTGAAACATCTCCTTATTGTGATGTAATTATGTTGCTAAGTTATGAAATTTAATATAAACTAGATCAAGGAAATTCTATATAACACCATTCAGTAGCTGATTTGTGCTCTTTCTTTTCATTGCAGACCCTTATGTCAAAGTGAACCTGTACCATGCTAAGAAGAGAATTTCTAAAAAGAAAACCCATGTGAAGAAATGCACCCCCAATGCAGTGTTCAATGAATTGTTTGTGTTTGACATTCCTTGTGAGGGCCTTGATGATATCAGCATTGAATTTTTGGTTTTAGATTCAGATAGGGGGTCAAGGAATGAGGTTATTGGCCGGTTAACCTTGGGATCTTCAGCAGAAGGAACAGGTGGAGAACACTGGAAAGAAATCTGTGAATATCCTAGGAGACAAATTGCCAAATGGCATATGTTGTGTGATGGTTAGAAGCCTAGAGAGGGGTTGGAACTTGAAAAACTATATATATTTCCATAGGCAAGGAGCAGTTTTCTTTCTTTGCTATGTGTACTTACAGGCTTGTAACTACAAGACTTTTTTTTTTTTGGGGGGGGTGGGGGTGAGGGGGGAATAAAAACTGGATTGAATTATCAGAACAGAAGGTAACTAAATTTTCACAGTAAATAGAGGAATTCTTATTTCATTAGGCTTTAACATAATTGGATCAGACCATATCCTTCTGGAGTTTAAATAGCCTGAAACTTCTGCAGCACTATAAACTTCAATAAGAACAGACTATGCTTTATGAAAAAGTCACTGGAAACCTTTTTAGTACTGTTATATAGAAGAAGATAACCTCATTAAAATATATTGCTAGATCTGAAAAAACCACCTGTGGCTTATTGGGGGACGGGGCTGAGTTTGTAAAAGCCATGGGCAATGAGGGTGAGTAGGAGGGGAATTCCTTCTGCCCCTCCATAAAAAACCTTCTTTTATGAAAATTCAATCACTATTTCTAAGTTTTGGTTACTTATACTTTTATCATCCCAAAGACCGAAGAGATTTTCAGCAATTTGCTTTACATTTCACATCATGTGCAACTAGTTCTTTTATGTGTGGAAACACCGCATCATTATTTACACTTGGATTTTTTAATATGTATATATATAACTTGTTTTATTACAGTGACCAAAATAGACACAACCTGCAAATTGTTGTGCAAGTTAACATATATTGTTTTGTTAAAAGGGCTCCTTTACAGGTGACTGCACATGTTACAGTATAGTTAGAATTTGGGATTAGATATGGCTTGCATTTTTTCCCTCTAGTAAGGATTACGCTTTAAGCATTTCAAGCCATGGCAAAACATTTCTATTGAGATGAGGTAACATACAGGACATTGCAGTCAATGACCTTTCACCAATTATATATTAAGCCATTCAGTAATACTTAAACAAAAGTTGTTTCATTGAAGAACAAACAAAGTAGTGAGACAGAACAAAACCTTATTCTGCTTTTTAACTTTCTGAACTGTGAGTAATGTCATTACAGTCAGTAAGACTACTCCCAACATAAAAAGTTTAATGCATTTTTAACCTTCTGCAAGATAGGAAACCAAGCCCACGTTGTAATTTATCCAATATTACATTAGAAAAATGACTTGAAAAGTGCATTTCACTTAGATTATATGCATTAATGTCCATTACTGATTGTACTGACAATTGGTGATGATAAGGGAAAATAACATCCCAATTTCATGTTAGTGTGACATATGTATGTTTAAACTTAAACTGTGCCAGGCTGGGGGATTATCAAGTGTAACATGAACAACTATATAAATAAAGCATTTAGACCTGTGAAATTTGTGCTTGGTCACACAAGATAGATTTTTAGGTTGTCAGAACCATAGCACAATTATAAGCAGATTATTTCCTAAAGTTTGTACACTGATTTCTGATACATTTCTTTGCATATATTACTCTTACATTGTTTTCAATTACTATATATAAAGAAGAATATAATGATGTTAGTTGTTGACATAAAAAGGATTTAAAAAGTAGAAAACCATTTTCAGTATTTTTGCATACGTCATTTTATCACGTGTAGTTTCACTGAAGTGAATGAAACTATTGGGGATTTAAGGTATTGCTCAATGCGAGTAAATGTAATAGCATGGGCATACCATGTAAAAACCATACATTTGATGTCAAATTACTTTCATTAAAAACACATCCAGGTCTTATTCAAAACTGTTGGAGATTTGTTGTCAACTTTACCTGTTCTCATATGGCCAAATTATGTTTGCAGTAAAGGACAATGAAATATGAAATATGCAAGTAGACAAATAGTACTGGAAGAAATCTATTGAGGCTCTTCCAGGTTTTGTGTCGGTATTTTCTCCAGTTTTTGAGAATGTGTTTGATATAACAGTGTTTATAAAGTTCTGTAAAAATACATTTTCAAAATAACATAAACATGCTTTTTATGATAATGCTCAATGTAAAAAACCCTGCATATTACATGTATAAAGTAGAGGAATCTTTTTTGCTTATTTCTTTAGAAAGCCGATTAACTGCTTGAGGGCTAGAATTTGCCAGCCACATTCAAGCAGAGCTAATCCAAAGCCACCAAGTCAAAGGAAAGATGCCTACAGGCTTCAGTGGGGTTTGAAGTGCAATCACAGAGCAAAACCCTTCTTGTGAGTCAACCCAGCAATATCAGTGGGACCATGGATAAGGGGAGACTCTGTTTGATCTGATGGAGGCTTGGGAGAGTTTAAGTCAGTACCACACAATCAGAGTTGTTACAATTTCTAGTAATGAAGGAACTTTATACTGAAAGTGATTGCATGAAAGAAAAAAAAAGAGTGTGACAGCTTGTAACTAAACAAACCCTGAGATTTTGCATATTAGCCCATAACTAGTGAATTAGCTCTAAAAATCAGATGACAGGAGTCATCTGTCTCCAATGGACAAAAATTCCGACATTAGAAGAAAAAAAAAATCCACCTTTTTGAATTAATGATGGGCTGTGACCATCTTTCATTTTGTATCCAACAAGTCGCCATAATTTTTCTTTGAAGTTTCTATAGCAGCTTGGGGGTTAATATTTCTTCCAGCTAAATGTCAGTTGTTGGTTGGGGTAGGAGGTAGGAATGGGAAGGGGGAATGAAGACATTTTTATTAAATCTAAAATACTCCCTGTGAACAGAAATTTGGTTTTCACTTAAAACAATGTTTAGCTTGGAAGTTGAGTAAAGACGACTTGTAATGCAACTGTAAACCAGACAAGGCAGGATCGAATGTAGGCCTGTACTGAGATGAGAAATTCTGCTGTTTTATAAAGTATTCAGTTCTCATTGTGAATATCTTGAACTCTGTTAAGGATACTGTACTGTATTAAACATGTAAAAAATGATGTTTGTCTAAGTAGCTTACAAAAATAATAACTCCTTGAATGGGAGACTATCCATATATGGGGATCTGTCGTAACTAAATACCTGATTTGTTATGGTGTTGTAACTTAATAGAAGCTATTCGAGAGAAGCATGGTGTATGAGATTTTGTAAGTTATTTGTGCTGGTTCTGTATGTTGTGCCATGTGTGTAAGACAAGAATAAACTGCTGCTTTCGTTCATCCCATCCCAAAACAATTATCCCACCAATGTATCTTTTCCAGAATTTTCTGCTATTGTTTGTACTCATGGTCTATTCTCTCACGTTTTTATCAAAAAACATGTGCCTTGCAAAGTCTTCTGCTTCTTACAGAGGTGGATTAGACTTGTTCTGCCAAATACTACCCAGGCATATCACATATATTCTTTATTTGTAGCTTCTTGTTGTATACTTACATTTGTCTTGAACTGTAGTGTACGCTCAGGCTAGAACCTGAGACATGGCCCGTGATAGAAAATCTGAGCCCTACATAGGCCCTAAAGGGACTGATATACAGATGTAAACAAGAATGAATTCTAACATGTTAGGTGGAAGTAGGAAAACGCAAGTCACATAACTATTGGAAACCTACTGACATTCCTTTTGTTTTCCAGAAGCAAAAATTACCCCTTGGACAATCATGCTGTACCACTCTTTCTTTCTTTGATGTCAGGAAGTTATGTCAGGCACCAGTTTGTCTGGTGAGTCTGGAAATTAAGGTAGAGAAAGCATTCCTTCAAATGCCATATACTAATATAAACTTTGCTGCTGTGGTCTATTACCAGCACAGAACCTAAAGCTAGGGAAGGAAGCAGTTGCAGCTGGGAAACACGTTGCCATTTAGTAACTCCCATTGTGAACCTACAACCAATTACCTGAAAAGGATCTCTGATCCTTGTCACAGAAATCAATGTATAAAAACTATGACAGGACCCACTAGACAGATGAATGACACAGAACATCTTCTGTGGATATAAATTAGTATATTTTCCCTGGCAAATCTGTCCCCAAGAGACAGGTAAAAAGTGTGAAAGACTGCTCTTTTCCATCCTATGCAGTCACTTCTTTTTTCTTCCCTGCATGGTACTTTTCTCCTCAAACAATGTTGATTCACATGGGTCACATTTCAGACCTTCTTCTTCAGGGCAGAGATCAAGAATACGTGTAGGGTTTCCAACTATAATGCAGCTGAGCCTCAGGGGAAATCTCAAGGCTACGGTCCTGATTGCTATTTGTATCTCAAATTTCTGCAACAGACAAGTCCTGTAAGGCCTCAAGGAAGCCCTTACAGATGTCTTCCTCTTTGCAGGAGATGTGATTCCTGAGGTGGAACACTATTCTGTAAGCCCCTTGTATTTGTACATCACAGATAACAGCGTGCTGAACACAGGATAACAACACCTAACCACAGAAGACAATGAACAATATTTCTTTCCCTTAAACAAGACTCAAATATGTTCTGTGTAAGCTTCTACCTTCTTATCTGTGCTCTCTGCTTCTTGAGGTCTCATAAAGCTGCTGAACAACTCATGGCACTCTTGCATCTGCTATGACTGGTACTGGCACTGGTGCTTACTTGTTTTGCTCTGCTGATGACCCCTGAGCAACTACCTTAATTCAAAAAGTTCCACTTAGTTCTCACAGTTTTCTCCATAATATCTTTTACTTTCCATTTCTAAAAAGCTGTTGCAGCATGGCTTTGGATATAGAGGCTTTGAGGCAGCTTTGGAGCAGTGATTACAGTTGCAACATGGCAGCACCTTTTAGTTCACATGTGCGTCTGAAATACTTTGTGCATGGCCAGAGAATGTCCTGTGGCCACAGAAGTGAATGCTCTGATTACACAACCAGCAACACAATGAGGTATTGCCCTGTCAGATGAGTTGACTTCTGCTTGAGCCCTTCAGCCTTGGTAGCAGGACTGAGGAGACTCCTAAGGCACCAGTGCCTTACCCCATCCCCCAGAGCTCTGCAGTCACTCTTGATATGCTTTGGGTTACCCAGCAGTACTGGTGCCCACATGGAAGAGGTGTAATAGTCCAAGGGCTGGAAAAG